AAATCTATGACTATCAAAGTCTATTAATTTGTACTTTTATCTTCAATGATATAAGGACTTACATATGCTTCAGCTGTTATTATATTATATATTATATATGATGTAGTTGCTCTTGTTATTTTTAATTATCTGTATACTTTAAATCCGCACATTATTCTTATGTTTTATGTAGTCAGTATTCATTCAAAATTACTCATATATTTTCTTTTCCTTGTTCTTCATTTATCACCCTGACTTCTCTTCATTTTTTATGTCCCTTTAGTGCAATTGTATTGGTGATTGTATTTGTAATTGTATCTTAGTCTGTGTAAAAGTATCTTTATTTCAGCTTCATTCTTGAAGGTGGTTTTGCTTGGTGTAAAATTCTAGATTGGCAGTTTCTTTCCTTGCACCACTATAAAAATAGCATCTATTATATTTTGCTTTCCATTATTTCTGTGGAAAAGTAATCTTTGAACCGAATAGTTTATTTTTGTTGCATGTGTATATGTAGTTTTCCATTTCATAACTCAGTTAACATTTTTTTGAGTATAGTTAACACACACAATATTACATTAGTTTCATGTGTACAACATAGTAATTCAACAAATATATGTTACGCAGTGCTATTGCAGGTAGTTACGGTACCGCTGACTAGGTACCCTGTGCTGTACTTTCCAGCCCTGTGACTTATACATGCCATAACTGGAAGCCTGGATCTCCTACTTCCCTTAACTCATCCCTTTGCCCCCTTCCCTCTGGCAACCATTGGTTTGTTCTCTACATTTAAAAGATCAGATTCTTTTTGTTGATTCATTTGCTTTATTTTTTAGATTCCACATATAAGTGAAATCATGAATTTGTCTTTATCTGACTTTTTCACTTAGCAGGATACCTTCTGGTTCCATCCATGTTGTCACAAATGGCAAGATCTCATCCTTTTTTTATGACTGAATATATTCCATTACTTTTTTATCCATTTATCAATCAGTGGACACTTGGGCTGCCTACGTAATTTGTGAATTAATGCTGCAATTAACATAAGGTTGCATATATCTTTTCAAATTAGTGTTTTCATTTTCTTTGAATGAATATCCAGTAGAGGAATGACTGGATCATATGGTTGTCCTACTTTTATGTTTTTGAGGAGCCTCCATAGTGTTTTCCAAAGTGGCTGGACCAGTCTGCATTCCCACCATTGGTGTAAGAAGGTTCCTTTTTCTCCATAGCCTTGCCAATACTTGTTATTTCTTGTCTTTTTGATTCTAACCATTCTGACAGAAGCAAAATGATATCTCATTGTGGTTTCGATTTGCATTTTCCTGATGATGAGTGATCTTGAGTATTTTTTCACGTGTCTGTAGGCCATCTGTAGATCTTCTTTAGAAAAATGTCCATTCAGGTCCTCTGTCCATTTTTTAATTGGGGTGTTCGTGGTTTTTTTGGTTTTGAGTTGTGTAAGCTCCTTATATACTTTGCATATTAACCCCTTATTGTTGGATAGATGATTTGAAAATATCTTCTCACAGTCAGTAGGTTGCCTTTTTTGTATTGTTGCTGGTTTCCTTTACTATACAAAGGCTTTTTATTTTGATGTAGTCCTAGTATTTATTTATTTTTGCTTTTGTTTTCCTTACCTTAGGAGATATATCTAGGAAAATGTTGCCATGGCCAGTGTCAGAGAAATTATTATCTGTGTTCCCTTCTAGGAGTTTTTATGGTTTCAGGTCTCACATTTAGGTCTTTAATACATTTTGAGTTAATTTTTTGTGTCTGATGTGAGAAAGTGGTCAGGTCATTCTTTTGCATATAACTGTCTAGTTACCCCAGCACCATTTGCTGAAGAGACAGTCTTTCCCCTGTCATATATTTTTGCTTCCTTTGTTGTAAATTAATTGACCATATAAGCATGGGTCTATTTCTGGACTCTGTTACGTTCCATTGATCTTTGTGTCTGTTTTTGTACAAGTACCATACTGTTTTTTATTACTACAGCTTTGTAGTATCTTGAAATCTGGAATTGTGATACCTCCAGTTTTGTTCTTCTTTCTCAAGATAGCTTTGGCTATTCAGGGTCTTTAATGATTCCCAAATTTTAGTATTTGTTTTAGTTATTTGAAAAATGCTGTTGCTATTTTGAGAGAGATTGCATTGAATCTGTAGATTGCTTTGGGTAATATGGACATTTAGCAATATTAATTCTTCCAGTCCATGAGCATGAATATATTTTCCAGTTGTTTGTGTCATCTTCAGTTTCTTTCATCAGTATTATGTAGTTTTTGGAATACAGGTCTTTCACCTCTTTGGTTAAGTTTATTCACAGGTAGTTTATTCTTTTAGGTGCTATTGAAAATGGAATTGTGTTCTTAATTTCTCTTTCTGCTACTTCATTATTAGTATTTAGAATTTTAACTGAATATTTTTGAATATTAATTTTGTATCCTTGTTGCAGGTATACTTTTTTTCTGACTACTTTTTTTTTTTTTTTTTTTTTTTTAAGATTTTATTTATTTGACAGACAGAGATCACAATTAGGCAGAGAGAGAGAAGGAGGAAGCAGGCTCCCTGCTGAGCAGAGAGCCCGATGCGGGGCTCGATCCCAGGACTCCAGGATCATGACCCGAGCCGAAGGCAGAGGCTTCAACCCACTGAGCCACCCAGGCGCCCCTTTTTCTGACTACTTTTAAGATTATCTCTTACCTTGGAGTGCCTGGGTGGCTTGGTTAGGCATCCTGACTCTGGATTTCATGATCTCAGGGTCAAGCCCTATCTCAGACTCCATGCTCATCACCAAGACAGAGTCGCTTGTCTGTCTCCCTTTGCTCCTCCCCACAGCTCATGCTCTTACTTTCTCAGTCTGTCATAAATAAACCTTAAGATTATCTCTTGCCTTTTATTTTTAGCAGTTGTTTCTATGTGCGGACTTCTTTCTGTTTATCTTCCTTAGAGTTTGAATGCTTTCTTCAGTCAGTAGGTTGATATATTTAATTGGTTTTGAAAAATGCTCTGTCATTATCTCTTTAGTATTCTATAGGGTCTCTCTCCTCTTCTGGTATTCTTTCTACGTATGGTTGATCTTTTTATTTTGTCCTTTCTAACTTTTTACCTTCTTTTCCTAATTTTTTCAGGAAAAAAATTATTTTCTGCTTGATTCTTTGTTTACTTCTGCCTTAACTTCCAGTCTACCATTTCAACTCTGTCTTTCTATCTCCTTTAGCATGGTTATTTTAAGTCTGTCTGATAGCCACAGTATCTGGAGTCATTGAAAGTTTCTGGGTTTTGTTGTTTTCACTAGTTTTCATTTACATTGTCTTGTCTCCTTTTGTGCTTAGTTACCTTTGATTATGTGTCATACATAGTATTTAAAAAACTATTTGTAGAAGTATTTTGAGGACTGAGAGGACATGATTTTCCTCCAAAGTGTGTTTTCATTTTTTTTTTTTTTGTCAGATTCTAGGGCACTTGCAATCTGGGGTTACTTTAATCCGGTTTTAGGACTTAAATTTTCAGAACCATTCAAATGACTTGAAGCTAGGCTACAGTGTCCACAAAGACTTTTATTTCAGCTTACCCTTGTTTAGGATGCAAACCTTGGGGATCTCAGTGTCAGGCATGGAAGTTTTACCAGGCAACAGTCCATACCCTTGTGTGCGTCTGGACTCGTTTTTATTTCTACCCCAGGGATTGGCAAACTTTTTCTATAAAGGACCAGAGGGTAAATATTTTAGGCTTTGTGAACCATACGGTCTTTGATGCAACAATCAGTGCTGCAGCTGTTTTTCGGAAGAGCCTAGACAATGTGTGAATTAATGAGCATGAATGTATTTCTGTAAAGATTTATTTTCAAAATCAGGCACAAGGCCAGATTTGGCCCAAAGCCATAGTTTGCTAACCCCTGCTCTAGTCTGTCAGAAACTCTGCTCAGATTCTCAGCTACATCTTCTTAAATTTAGATTAGCCCTGAATGCCGAACTAGCCTTTCTTTTGTTTGCTTTTGTTAACTAGCTCTCTGGTGCCTTCAAGAATATTTTGGTTTTGGTTTTGTTTTTTTAAGATTTTATTTATTTATTTATTTGACAGAGAAAGAGAGATCACAAGTAGGCAGAGCAGCAGGCAGAAAGAGAGAGGGAAGCAGGCTCCCTGCCGAGCAGAGAGCCTGATGCAGGGCTCAATCCCAGGACCCTGAGATCATGACCTGAGCTGAGGGCAGAGGCTTAACCCACTAACCCACTAAGCCACCCAGGCGCCCCTATTTTGGGTTTTTTATGTTTGGTCCAGGTGCTCTCAGAAGGAGGTTTAATCTGAAATACCTAGTCTGCTATTATCAGAAGCTAAAGTCATATACAAGGTAACTAAATTAAAAGCAATGAGATTCCCCCCCCCACCCTAATCTCAAAAAGAGAATTTCTTGAGGTGCTGTCAGAGAATCTCTCTCACAAGCATCCCGTAATATATAAATGACTTTTTTTTTTTAAATGAAACTGACTTTTCAGGACATGTTTCTTTAGCCTTCCTAGAGAGATTGTGCATTCCAAGGTTAAAGTTACAGAGCAGCATTGTCTTTCAGACCTTTGTGGATGGAAATGTTCTGTATCTTGCACTATACAGTATGGTAGCCACTAGCCTCCCGTGACAATTGAGCACTTGAAATGTGACTAGTATGAATACAGCACTAAAATTTTACATTTATTTAATTTTAACTAAATTCAAATAGCCAGGTATGGATACTTGTTTGGAGTGGACAAAGCTTATATTAAGTGAAGAATCTCTCCTCTCAGGGCATAATGTGTTCCCACAGTGCCACCTACCAAAGTATCCATTTTCTAGTTCTCCTGCAAGAAATACTTAATCTAAATTTGTTTGATGGACAGTATCTTCTAAATATCTGAGGGCTTGCAGAATGTTTCCATTTATTCCTACCATTTACCTGGTTTGATGGAAGTACACTTGCTCTTCTGAACAGGCTGCATACACCTAATGCAGTCACTCAATTTACTGCTAACACATATTTTTCTTTGCAGGGAAAGGGGCGACTTCGTCGAGGAAACTATCCAAGTCCATCCTCTCCTGTTGTGGTCCGGTTGCCCTCCATGTCCGATGTCCCAGAAGAGACCTTGACTAGTGAAGCCACAGTGGAGACTGACATCACAGAACAACAGCAAGCAGCCATGCAGCAAGAGGAGAGGGTACTGACTGAGCAGATTGAGAACCTACAGAAAGAGAAGTAAGTTTCCAGGAGGAAAGGGAGCCACCAGTCGTTACCTGTTCTCATTTTCTGCATTCTGTGCTCTCTTGGTTTTTCCTTTTTTATTAAATCTCCCCTATGTACCAAGCACTGTATCCGGTAATACAGGAGATGCAAAGATGAAAAAGACATGTTGCCTGGACTCAGGTAAGAGCGTGAAGAGTTGTCACCTCAGTGAGGGAAGCTCCATGAGCAGGTGTACCTGAAGCTTCTTGAGTGACAGTACTGGTGACTGTGATAAGGTGTGTCAGTCTTAGCCAGGTTTCTGACAGGTCTGAGATCAGCCTCATTGAACAGGTTGGTCTTCAAAAGGAGGAGTAAGGATTCCTAGGCTAAGACAAAAGTCCCTTTCAAGAATGGGCGTCATTCAGAACTCCCTAAAGTGGGACACCTTGGTGGCTCAGTCAGTTAAGTGTCTGACTTCAGCTTGAGTCCTGTATAGGGCTCCTTGCTGGGTGGGGAGCCTGCTTCTCCCTATGCCAGCTGCTCTCCCTCCTTGTGCTTGCTTTCTCTGTCTGACAAATAAATAAATGAAATCTTAAAAACAAAACAAAAAAAGAAAACTAAAGAAGGTTATTATCTGAAGATCAATATAGCCATGGGGCCACCAACTGGATGGTCAGGGTAAGGCAGCAATTCTAGTGCGTGCTGGGATACTAGGTGGGGAAATTGGTGGCAATTTAGGAGAGAGGCAGATAGTCAACTCTCTGCCCTCTACCATCACTAGAGCAAGGTTAAGTAACAATAACACTACATCTTGGGGATAGCACAGACATGCTATGGTTCTTTTTGAGGGTACTGTGTATCGGTTCTTATTGACAAAAAAGGCTCTAAAGTTTTAAGGGGATTTTTGTTTCTGAGTTCCAGGATCCCAGGTCTAAGAGATTGATCCATTAGGAGACATCTGAGTCTGTTAAAATACGTTTTGCCTGTCAGGAGTGATTCTAGAATTTTGGTAAGCTAAAAAAAAAGCAGCTGGGACTCAGCTGTACAGAACACGATAAGGCAGAGGTTGTGCACCTTGACCAGGGGCTAGCTATCTAATTTGAAAAGAAGACCTCACTCAGCTTTGATGAAAATGTCACTGGAGAATATAGTTTGAGCTAGGTAGAGTGGAAGCAGAGCTAAGAAGGCTCTGAAAGAAAGATTTGATGAGAAAGGGAGTAAGAATTGGAAGGATAAGGAAATTGTGGAAGTTTGGGACTCAGAGCTAGTATATTTCCAGGTAGTGACAAACTCTAAAATCTGCACATTGGAGAAATTGTCCACGTAATGTGAAGGAAAGATTGTTAGAAGTAGCAGACACAAGGACACTTTAGTGTGAGAGTACTGAGGTGAGCTTTTACGAAGATGTTTATTGACAGATCAGGTGACATCAAGTAGTAGCGAGAAAGCAAGATCAGGAACCAAGTCCAAGACTTGAGGGAACAAGGGGCACAACTGAAAGGTAGGTTGGATGCCTGATGAAGAGGAGTAGAGAATGCTTGAGTGGAGGTGGCATAAGAGGCAAAGGACAGAAAAGACCAATGATGTTTTACTTCATCGTTAGTGCCAGTTCATGGAAAATAGTTAAAGAGCTAGAAGGAGGGGCGCCTGGGTGGCTCAGTGGGTTAAGCCGCTGCCTTCAGCTCAGGTCATGATCTCAGGGTCCTGGGATCGAGTCCCGCATCGGGCTCTCTGCTCAGTAGGGAGCCTGCTTCCCTCTCTCTCTCTCTGCCTGCCTCTCTGTCTACTTGTGATCTCTCTCTGTCAAATAAATAAATAAAATCTTTAAAAAAAAAAAAAGAGCTATGGGACGCCTGGGTGGCTCAGTTGGTTGGACGACTGCCTTCAGCTCAGGTCATGATCCTGGAGTCCCGGGATCGAGTCCCACGTCGGGCTCCCAGCTCCGCGGGGAGTCTGCTTCTCTCTCTGACCTTCTCCTAGCTCATGCTCTCTCTCACTGTCTCTCTCTCAGATAAATAAATAAAATCTTAAAAAAAAAAAAAAAAAAAAAAGAGCTAGAAGGAATTTCAGAGATTATCTCATGTCATCTCTTTGTTTTGTGGATGAGGGGGCTGAGGTCCAGGGAGAGGAAGGTACTTTGCCAGTGCATTCATATGAGTGTAGAGTGAGTTTAGAACCCTGATCTGGTTATCAGCACAGAGTTCATTTTACCAAAATATCTTACAGCTGCAGCATCTTTTCCCCCCGCTCACTCTTTGCTCTGTTATAGGTCTCAGACTGTGTTTGTATCCTCCATCATTACTGTGGCTTATGGGTCTTTATCACCATTTTGGATGGGAACAGTAGGAAATGTGACTGTTTTGCTACTTAAATTTCTTTCATCGTAAGTCTTTTTTTCCTGTTGTCTTCCTTCCTCCTCTTATCAAACACTGGTGGATTTCTTGATTATATCTTACAGGGAGGAGCTAACATTTGAGATGCTTGTACTGGAACCCCGTGCTTCTGATGATGAAACCCTTGAGTCTGAGGCCTCCATTGGGACTGCTGATAGCTCAGAAAATTTGAATATTGAGTCTGAAGGTGCCATCTCTGAGAAATCAGGTAAATGAACATATTAGACCAAAGAATCCAGATTTGTTTTGCAAGGGAGGAATAAGGATTCCCAGGCTAAGACAAAATTCCTTTCAAGAATGCCTGACCTTGGGGCGCCTGGGTGGCTCAGTGGGTTAAGCCGCTGCCTTCAGCTCAGGTCATGATCTCAGGGTCCTGGGATCGAGCCCCACATCGGGCTCTCTGCTCAGCGGGGAGCCTGCTTCCCCCTCTCTCTCTGCCTGCCTCTCTGCCTGCTTGTGATCTCTGTCTGTCAAATAAATAAATAAAATCTTAAAAAAAAAAAAAAAAAAAAAGAATGCCTGACCTTATGGGAGAAGGTGACAAAGTCCTAAGGAATTCAAATATACTGATCTTTGTGAAGCTTCCATTATATATTGTTCATCAGACCCAATATTTAATGTAATGCAGGTTTTTGTCAACTTAATGTTTTCTTCTCTGTTTACCACAGAGAAAACCCAATAATTACAACACATGTTGTCTTACTGATCCATGATCCATGTTCTAAGGGTGGTTGATAGGAGTTGGGCCCTGCTGAGAGATGGGCTTATACCAAAGGAGGTATTTAACTATGTGGCATGTCTCAGGGAGACATAGAATTACTACATATCCTGGCAGTATTTTATTTTATTTTTTAATTTTATTATGTTGTATTAGTTACCATTGTTAGTTTTTTGTTTTGTTTTTGGTTTTTTTTTTTAATATTTATTTGCCAAAGAGAGAGAGAGAGAGAGCGCGCACAAAAGCAGGCAGAGAGGCAGGCAGAGGCAGCGAGAGAAGCAGGCTCCCCGCCAAGCAAGGAGCCGGATGTGGGACTTGATCCCAGAACCCCGGGATCATGACCTGAGCCGAAGGAAGCGGCTTAACCAACTGAGCCACCCAGGCGTCCCCATCATTAGTTTTTGATATAGTGTTCCATGATTCATTGTTTGCGTACAACACCCAGTGCTCCATGCAATACATGCCCTACTTAATACCCATCACTGCAGTAAACCATCCCCCACCCCGCCTCCCCTCTGAAACCCTTCGTTTTTTCCCCCCAGAGTCCATAGTCTCTCATGGTTCATCTCCCCCTCTGATTTCCTCCCCTTCATTTTTCTCTTCCTTCTCCTAATGTCCTCCATGCTATTCCTTATGTTCCACATATGAGTGAAACCATACGGTAATTGTCTTTCTCTGCTTGACTTATTTCACTTAGCATAATCCCCTCCGGTTCCATCCATGTTGATGCAAATGGTGGGTATTCATCCTTTCTGATGGCTGAGTCTCCCACATTAATAAAATCATGAATGAAAGGGGAGAGATCACGACTAACACCAAGGAAATAGAAACGTTTATTAGAAATTATCACCAGCAACCACATGCCAACAAATTAAGCAACCTGGAGGAAATGGATGACTTCCTGGCAGTATTTTAAATGATAGTGACAGTCCTTGGCCTTTCCTAATGGCGTAGTCGAACTCCAGACTTCTTGGGGTTGATTCTTAAATGATATGTTTAGAAATGGGCAACTTCTCAGGTTATGGCTGTGAACAGAGTAGGTCAGCCTGGACACTTCAGACCTCAGCCCACCCATCACACGGGAATGGTGAAACCTATTATTATGGGATGATTTGCTTTAGAGGAAATTGTCACTTAGAGCTTTGATCTCTTTTTTTGAATTAGAGAGAAGCTTGGTCCTTAGCTCCCTGAAGGCAGCTGGCAAATCTGAACCTTCAAGCAAGTTACGAAAACAGCTAAAAAGGCAGCAAGACTCTTTGGATTCAGTAGACTCTTCATTCTCTACTTTATGTTCATCTAACACTGCATCTTCTCATGGGACCAGAAAACGATTTCAGATTTATTCTAAATCTCCTTTCTACCGAGCTGCCTCAGCTGGCGAGGCCCTGGGAGTGGAAGGGCCATTCGGTCAGACCAAATCCCTGGAAGACAGGCCTCAGTTCATCAGCAGAGGAACCTTCAACCCTGAAAAGGGCAAACAGAAATTAAAGAATGTGAAAAACTCACCTCAGAAAACCAAAGAGACCCCAGAGGGGACAGTTGTGACTGGCCGCAGGAAAACTGTGGACCCAGACTCCAGCTCCACCCAACAGCTAGCTCTCTTTGGAAATAATGAGTTTATGGTCTGAACTGGCAGCTGTGTGTCCCTTCATGGCTACAGAGTGGTAAACACATCTCAGCTTCGGGGCCTCTTCTCATCCCCTCGTCCACAATAGTCCAACCTAATTGTGGTCCTGCCTCTTGCCCAAGCATACAACCAAGAACTTGTGTGCTAATTTCCTGGGCCTCCTGCAGAAACAGAAAGGCCTCTGTGAAGCCTGCTGGGGATGGTGCCAGCTGTGCCTTGGCTGCTGTATTTGACTGGGGAGTTCACTAAACAGAGCCACCGGGGGCCTGCGGATTTGGGTCAGTTGTGGAGATCTTCCTAGTTGCCTCTCCTCCATCCTCTTTTCCTTCCCAGAGGTGGGTGTTGAACTGGGGGGAACATGGTGGGCCTGAGGGAACCACTGATTTTTGACATTTGAAGAAAACATATAAATCTTTCTTAACCGTGAAAGCAAAAGCCTTTGGGTTTATTTTGGGATAGTTAGGAGCTGGGGTAGAATATAATTTTTTTCCAAGGATTTATAAACAAAAAGCTTAAGCCCTCTATTTTAAGATTTTTGAGAAATACTCCATGTTATATTCTGGGGAAAGTAAAAATGTAATTGTTTCCATGAAGCCATCAGAGCATGTCTCAGACATCTGGTTACATGATGAAGAAGAGAGTACATGTTTTGTTTTTTGATGATGTTCAGTGTCATAATAATGCCGGTTTCACTCCTGGTTAGTTTCTGCCAAATATATTGCATGGGCTGAAGTTTCAGTTTTCCTACTGTACTCAGACTTCCTGGTCCTAGGATTAGGTTCCTCTAATTTTTTTAAAGCATCTCAGAGATGTGGTGATCCCTAAACAAGAGGGTCTCATCCTAATCCACCCAGGCTTTCCTCTTTGTATAGATTAATAAGCTGAAGATCACGTACGAACCTGTTCATCTGCTGGTGGATTTCCACCACAAACTCAGACAAGTGATGTGACCGTCTAATCACTTCTCCTAAAACATTCATACACAACACTGCATGAATAAGTGTTAACAGAAAGCTGCCAAAAAAAATTAAAAATTTTTAATATAACCATCTAACTATTACCTTCTTTTCCTCAGACCATCAGTATTAAATAGATGAAAAAATAAATCAAGGACTACTTGAAGCTATTTTTGTTAATATTCTGGTTACTGAAGTTTACTGTAAATATATATGTATAGTATGCATATTTCTTTTTAACCTTATGCTTCCCTCCTCCTGGTGGAATTTCTTCCCACAGATTAAGGGCCATTGGATAGGGGTGAGAGCCACTATCCCAGGGTTGAGGGAAAAACCAGACCATCTTTTTCACCACTGGGTGTCTCCCTACACCTGAGCTATAATAGCATTTTAAGCTTCTTAGCATTTGTGGGATTAGAAATCTGTTTTTGCTATTTATAATATATGGAAGATGAAACATGATACTCTTTCTTGAGATAAGTATGTGAAAATGTTTATTTTTAAAGTTACTAAATGCATCTTGTCTAACTACCACGTGCACTGTTCTGAAAAAGAGCCTTTACCATCTGTAACCTGAATTTTGGTTATTCTTTCTTTTCATACTTCGATTTGAAGTTGTGGAAATGTTAAGACTTTGTTAGGGCAGATTCTCTCCTGTTACACAACACTGAACCTCATGTCACTGCCTCAGTGGTTATTGTCAAGCCCCAGAGGTCAGGCTTAGAACATCATTCTGAGTGGCAGCTAAAGGTAGCAGGAGTCTTACCTCTCCCTGGTTTGGTTTCAGAAATGAGCTAGGGAAAGGAATCTTTTTAAATCTCCAGAATGATGATGGTTGTGAGTAAGTGTTAGATTTTATATCCCGCAAACATCTGCCACCTTATTCATGCTGAGGAATAATAAATGTTAAAGCCTTTTAAAAATCGAACTTTGGAGAATCTCTTAGAGGAAAGCCCAACCCCTCAGCATGGTCAGGTCCCAGTGGGACTTCTGGGGCCCCAGGGCCCCAAGCCAGGCTACGCAGGCTGTTTCAGTATTCCTGGGGGAGTAGTGTCCTGCTGGGCATGGACTGCTACTCTCTACTTGCTCCAGAACATTGATTAAATACCACATGAGAAAGAGATGACCCTTGTTGGATAATTTCCTTTGGCTCCAAGGAACGGCCTAGAGAACACATCTTGGCATATGTTCTCCCTTCTAAATTTTTGCAGATTTTCTTTGTTTGTTTGCAAAATAAGTTTTTGGCAGTTGGAAAAAAAAAAAAAAAAATTACTCCTGTAGGCCACTTTAGAAGAACTAGGCAATGGATGTTAAGAGACTTTATATTTCTCAGGGACCTGAAACCTGAATTTGGATAAAATTAAATAAAAAATACTTGTTTTTTGGTTGCTAGATTTGTGGATTTCTAGTCATTTAACAAAGTGCCAGAATGGAGGGTTGTGGGGGCGGGGAGAGATCCGCACAATCCTAAGAATTAAGAGCAAGTGTGGGACCCCCCCTTTGAAGGAAAGAAAGCTTTGCTTCTCATAGGATAACAAATACTGTTGGCCTAACAAAGAGATGAAGCCATAACTCCTAAAAACTGTCAGAACCAAGTGCTGTATCTTCTTCCATATGGTCTTAACTGGTCCTCTCTGTGGTTAAAGTTATGTCACCACAAAGTGATGCTGTATTATAATCATTTACAATGAAGATGTGTAACCCTCATATACATCGCAGCTGCGCTGCCCATTGCTTCTGCTTTGCTTTTCTTTGATCTCACATGCTACAGACAAAAATCCCTGTGTGGCAGCAATGGGGCAGCCCCACATTTGGAGCCCATACTCCAAAATACAGAGGAATTCTGTTCGTATCACACATTCCAGCCCCAAACAAAGCCTGGATTTGCACTTCTCCACATTAAAGCCAGCTATCCCTTATCATGGAAAATGAAATAGAAGCAGAGAAGTATCATTTTAAGGTTACATTGTGTATCATAAGTGAAGCAAATTTGTTTAAACAGCAAGGATCAGGGAGGTGACATACTTAGTTTGTAATGCACTTCCTGCCATTTTAATTCCTTTGCTACTCTGGGCTTCTAGAAACACAAAGGGGAGATACAGAGTTCTCAGTACCGGCCTTGAAGAGACAGAGGGACCTGAAGTCAGGGAATGGGATACCAGAGCCCCTACCTTCTCATACTTTGGAAACCAGCCGCAGCTCTTACCCTGCTGCTGGGAGGTTAGTGGAGACTTCTGTGTTCTTGACAGAGGGTGGTTTTCACTGTCAAAGACAGAGAAGAGAAGAGGGGGTCCCAGAAGCATGCTGAAAAGAGGAAGTCCAGCAAGGTTCTGCAGGCCCACTTCAGTGACTCTGGGCCATGTTGGGTTTATTTGTTTTTGTATTTTTAAACTATAACTAACGAATGTGTACCTTTCACAAGCACTTTGGTGAACTAGAGAAGAAATTCTCAGGATGTGTTCAAAGCTAAGAGAGTTTTAATTTTAAAAAGAAACATAGTTCAGATGGTTTTCCTCATCGGTGGGGGAGCTAGGCAATGGGCATGCATCGTTCTGTGTTGACAAATGCATTATGTCTATCCATAATTTTGTGACAGTTCCCCAGCACTGTCCACCCAATAACACAATGCCGGCCTTGGTAGTAAGTCCTTGGCATTTGAGGGAGTCCTCAGTCTTTCTGTGCCCCTCATATAATTTTTACCACTTTTTTTCTGGAACCACTCCCACATTTGATTTGGTGTTAAAAGGTAACAGCAAAATAATGATTGTGGAGGTGGATCTATTAGGTCTTATCGGTCTCTTGGTTAAAAGTGTTTTCAAAAAAGCCACACGAAGGCACCTATCCCCTTGCTATTCATTTATAATTAATACCTATTATCAACCCTCTTAGGTCATATAAAAGTTGGCACCTTTTGAACCAAGTAATTGCATTTACTAGAGGAAACGTGTGGATTACAAATTAGTATTGTATTATTTTAATAGATTCAAAGTAATTTATAAGTATGCTGAGTGTAAATTTTTAAAAGACTATGTATTGTAAAAAGACATATCCTGTGAAATATAATATCATTTTACTGTTTAACAGAATAATTCTATAAAAAGAATGATTTATCTCACCCACAGAACTGATTACATTCCTGATGCAATCAACAGGCACTTTGTAATTTCCTTTTGGGTTGGTTTTTTGGTTGTTGTTTTTTTGTTTTTGTTTTTGTTTTCTGTTGTTGTGGGGGGGGGAGCAAAACATCATCTGTAGAAAGTGCAGTTTGTGTCACTCCGAATATGCACTGTACAGCTACACAAAAGCAGCTTGATGAACAAATCACTCCATGGCTCATTAAAGAACAAAGCTTCCAGAAGCAGCAATATGTGTGGTTTGTTTTCTGACCATCCTGGCTCCCATCCCAACTCACTCCAATCCCACTCCAAGGAATAGCAGTGATTTTTGTTAAGCTGATTTTTCTTTTAAGGAAAGGGCTGAGCCCCAAAGTTTACAAAGTGCAGAAGCAGTAATTATGGGAACTCAGCTGAATTCAAGTGAAAGTGAGATTGGAGATACTCGTTTTATGTAATAGATGCTAACTGCCAGGTATTAAGACTTTCTTTAATCAGCCTAGAGCTAGGCGGACAGTGAAGACAGTAAGTCTACGGTTAGGATCCTTACCAAAAAGACTGAAGAAGTAGCAACATGTGCTAGTAGAGGCCCAGGAATTAATTCATCCCTAGGTTGTCCTTTTCTTTCTGCCACTATGCTGATTGACTTTGGGAAAGTCAATAGCCATTTCTGGGTGTTAGTTTTCCCATCTGGAAATGAGCTTTCTTCCTCAGGTTTTCTTCTCTGTATAACTCCCACTGACTCTCGGGTCTCAGCATAAAAGGCAGTAATTTCCTCTTCCCCCTTCAGCTGGATTAGATGTGTTCTCAACAGTGCCCGGTATTCATGGCATCAAAAACTGTTTGAGGGGCATCTGGGTGACTCAGTTTGTTGAGCATCTGCCTTTGGCTCAGGTCATGATCAGAGGGTCCTGGGATTGAGCCCCATGTCTGAGCTCCCTGCTCAGCAGGAAACCTGCTTCTCCCTCTCCCTCTGCTGCCCCCCCATAGGATTGTGCACTCACTCACACTCTCTGTGTCACATAAATAACAACTGTTTGATAAAAGCTTCCCGAGGCAAGAAATGCGCTATCTTGCTGACTCTTAGATCTCCAGCACCTAATGAAAGGTGCCCTTGCTTAAATATTGAATGAGAAGGTTGAATGAGATCGGAGGTTCCCAAATGCCAAACTAGGTCTCAGGTGAAATGGAAAGTTACTCAGTTTTTAAAATCCCGAGATCATCTTCCCATTTTTTTTGCATTGTTTACATTTTTGCATTAAATTAATGTCAAAGCGATTAGGGTAGTGAATTATTTCTTCAGGTTTCCTAAATTGGCCAAGTAAAACCTAGAAATGCCATTTTAAAAATGTACCCCTGTGGTAACCAAATCAACAAACCTTCCCAATGCTTCTTGGCATCTTTGGGTCTTTGTCTGCATTTCCTACCATCAAATAGTCCCTTAGGGTGGAAGAGGATGACTGTCTCACAAATCTGAAAATTGCAGTTGAAAAGAAAGGCCAGATAGGTCCACAGAGACTGTCTCTGTGTGCTTTATAAGCAAAGACATTTCTGGCTTTAAGGGCAAAAAAACTTTCACAGTATCCCCTCTCCTAGCAACAATGCTAAATGCAATGTTACCCATTTGAATGTCAATGGGACCAATTTACAGCAAAATATTGAATAAATCCTGAGATCAACTGACTCTGTATCGTATTAGGAAAACAAGAGCCACTCAGTGTATTTCAGGTGAGGAGGACATAATACAGGAAGTAGGGGATTAATAATACACACTGGAAGAACTGGAGAAACCCAGATCCGGGAAGCTCCCACAGAAGGTCGAGAAAGCCAACACAGACCTAAGCCAAAAGATCCAAAGAGCTTTCTGGAAGCTACTGCAATTCAAAGAAGGCTGCCTGAAATCTCTACCTTCCCACACAGCTGACTGCAACTGCCTCCAGACAGCAATGATTTCCTCGTTGACCTTCCAAGGCTCGAGTGAGAGTGCCTGCCTTCCATGAAGGAGCCACGGGGGGAAGAGGATCACGGGAAATGTAGTTCCCGGCATCTCTGCAGTGAGGACAAGACCTTAGAAGGGGGTGGTATTGATGCCTGGTTGACAGCAGCTAATCCAGGCCAGAAATGTGCCATCTTGCCTGTGTACCTTGTCTATTTCTCCAAGACTTTCTCCTGGAGATCCCAAACAATCTCCCCTGGTACAGAATTGCTGTGCTCACACATCCCAGACCGGTACCAGCACATGAACTTCAGTGGGCCACTCTGCACACCTGTGTCCTGAGATGCATGACTATAGAGGAGATAGATGTCCAGGGCCTATCTGGCCCTATTGCAGCCTTCTTTCTTGCTACAGTGCCTTTGCTCAGGCTTTCTATATGCAGGCCTTTCAACCTTATGGATGAAAACTCTTGATAGGGAACTGGATAGTATAATGGCATTATAGACATTAGATGGATCGAATAACGGGCAAGTCTGGTGCTTTTAGAAGATCAAGAATATGGGGTACCTGGGTGGCACAGTTGGTTGGGGGTCCGACTCTTGATTTTGGCTCCAGTCGTGGTCTCAGGGTCATGGGATCGAGCCCTGCATCAGGCTCTCTGCTGGGCATGGAGACTGCTTAGGATTCTCCCTCTCTCTCCCTCTTCCTCTGCCACCCATCCCCGCCCTATCTGTATCTATATACCTATATCTGTATATAAAGAAGATAAAGAATAGTTTAAGTGCTCAAGTGGAAAGGGCTCAAGCTGGACCATACTTGCCATACTCTTTCCTCCTCAGGCACCAACCCAGCTAGTGTCATTTCTAGAGCAGAGTGTCCTGAACCACATCCTTCCATCAAGGCCCGATATCTCTATGAGCTGGGAGAATCCATACATAGGCCAAAGGGCAAGAAACCCCTAGGATTTCAGATTCCTCACATGACCTTCTACTTTTGACTTCAAGCATTTCTTCTTGGAGGACAGGAAATGCAACAGAATCCTTCAGCCATTCCAGGGGCGGGGGACTCTGCGGGGTGGGGGATGGCAGTGCCAGAGTTAGGGGGAGTTAAGTAGAGTCACACCAGGGTTCAGGTTCTCTCCAAGCCTCAGTTTTTTTCACTTATCATTGGGGGTGACTGGTCCAGTCCCAGAGCTAATCCAAGGATTGAATAACAATACCCATTCAGCACTCCATTCACTGCCTGGGTTATCCTCAAATCCCACACACAGTCGCTTTCTTGCTTTACTATTATCTCCTAGGTCTTTTGGGTCTGCCTTTGCAAAGGAGGAGGTTTGTCTGAGATTCTCTCCATAAGGACTTAAGAAGTAATAGAGATTCCCCTTCTAAGAAAAGTGCCTGTAGCTGCCTGGCATTGAGTTGGATGTGTTTATAGAAGGGTAAGGAAGGACAGGAAGGGAAACACTGAGACAGCCTGTGGGTTTTCCAGGGGGCCGGACCCCGTCTGGAGAGAGGCGGGTTTTGACTCCTGTGGGAGATTTTGAGGCTGGGCTTGACTCGTTGCCCCTGGACTTTGCTATGACATGGAAACCAGGTGGAACACAAGAGCCCGTGCTCATTCCTTCAGTGTCTTTCAATGGAGAGCCTTTTTTTTTTTTTTTAAGATTTTATTTATTTATTTGACAGACAGAGATCACAAGTAGGCAGAGAGGTAGGCAGAGAGAGAGAGGAGGAAGCAGGCTCCCCGCTGAGCAGAGAGCCCGATGTGGGGCTCGATCCCAGCACCCTGGGATCATGACCTGAGCCGAAGGCAGAGGATTTAATCCAGGCGCCCCTCAATGGAGAGCCTTTAACACATTTTGTTTTTGGTTTTATTTTTCCCCCACTTTATTGAGTATAATACAGTAAAATGCACAACTCTATTGAGTATAATACAGAAAAATGTATGAATTCTCCCAGCTCATAGAGAGTGCGCGGCTCAATTTTTAGGAATGAGTAAATTTGAAACCACCACCTAGGTTAACATCAAGAACATTTCTAGGGGCGCCTGGGTGGCTCAGCGGGTTAAAGCCTCTGCCTTCAGCTCAGGTCATGATCCCAGGGTCCTGGGATCGAGCCCC